CCATTGGGTAAATAGTATCATGGAGCAACCAGAGACTTATTGCAAGATTAAATCTGTAGTGGAAATGTAATTTGAAATTCAAAAAGTCTATTGAAGATAAATTTGAAATCAACTGAACTCAATTAAGGGAGCATTTCAAAATATCAATATTGGAAACCTATCTGTATTTGAACAGTGGAGGGGAGTGGGACAGTGGGTCATTAACTTAAAATAGTGACTTTCGCATCAACATTTCCCATAGCATTGAGGGGGTCACAAATTTACTGTTCAAATACATCTGGTAATCTTGCATTGAAATTAATTTTGAGATGCTCGATAAACCACAATGTTATATATTATTACCTTTCCGGGAATATCATTTTTAAAAGGAGTCTTAAAGTTTATGCTTCCATTTGCTTTCTGTTAAATGTTGTTGTTGTTAAAATGAATATACAAATAGAAATTAGAATGCATACAATACCTAAAACTTACCTTCAGTTTAAATGGTCAGACAGTGTTATCCTGGGGATCATAAACAGAACTTTCGCAAAGTTACTAATTCGCAAGTCAATTGTTAATTTTACGAATTTGGTAAATGTGCATTAACAGAACTTTCGTATGTTGCTTTCTATAACGTATTTCCCGTATCACATAAAATTTCATATGATACGAGCACACGTACCACACATTGTCTATGGTAACGAAACTAGATAATGGCAACTCCGCGGAGTAGCAAATCCCAACGAACAAAATATCAATTACCGAATTCCAATCAATTATATTCATTACTTTGGTTAAAATTGAAAAATTTAGATTTTAGAATTGCGAATTCCTGCAAAGCAGCCATTTTGAATTTTCTGAGGTACAAATCTGAAAAATAATAGCATAATTGTGGTCTACTCCAAAATTCCTTCAATTTGAGTATAATATAGCCATACTCTGAAGGGATCGAAAAATGATTGCGAAATTGTACATTAGACGGCCATTTTGAATTTTACGAGGCTCGAATCAGAAAAAAATACAATATTTGCAATCTACTCTTAATTGCCTTTCATTTGAGTATAATAAAGCTATACTTCAGAAAGATCTAAAAATTAGCGAAAATTTCTGTTTTCCTGACCCCCATACACGGCCCCTGGGGGTCAGGATGAAAAACACGGAATATATGTGAAATAGATAGATGTTGCGAATATACTACCAAAATTTCAAACAATAATATTAATTACTTTGGTTTAGAATGAAAAATTTATGATTTTTGCGAAAAAGTCCCGTCATGTTTAAAGCGGCGGCCATCTTGAAAAAATTTTTTTTTGCTTAAAACTTTTCATCAATATACATCTTTCCACTAAATATGAAGAAAATCCGTCCACTAGTATTTGAGTTATCTTCCGGACGGACGGACGGACGGACTGACGGACGGACTGACAGACTGACGGACTGACAGACGGAGGGCTTCACTATATCCCTACCGAACTTCGTTCGTTGGGATAATGATGTCATACAACTCCATTCTATTCTTTCCTAATTCAAAATGACGTCATGCGCTTTCGTGGTGATACAATTTTTACTTTCGTGGAATGTTTCCCGTATCACATGCTGAAACGTGTAATAACTGATAATAGCATATTTTTATTTGTGCTAAATAATGATATAAGATGACGTCACAATTTAAAATTCGTTTACGAACATTCGTAACTTTTTAAATATTTACGAATTTCATGAAGTTACGAATTACAAATTCGTTACTTTGCGAAAGTTCTGTTAATGACCCCCTGGGGACACCATGCACCAGCCTTATGTATGGAACACTCCTGTTTTACCTTGTCAATGGCAGCTTGCAGCTGTTCTTGTGAATACTACCTTCTCACATTCTTACTAACATATATGCACCCCATGGTCCTAAATGAATAAACTAATTCATAAATTATTGAAATGGGGGGGATTAACAGCAAGTACTAGTGGCACAATGTGTTTTACCTGAAAAAGTATCGTTTGTATTTTCACCGAATTGTCATTTTATAAAAAGATTTTGAAAAATATGAACATAATCCGTGATTTACGTGAAATTTATCATACAGTATACGCTTTAATAATTGATGCGTGATTTCTATTTTTCAAGCAAATGCGTGACGATCACGCCTAATGGGTGAGGGCAGGATATTTGTCAGAAATCCCGTACTGGTAGTCTATTGCACAGTGACCAACACCTTTTCTAGACGGTGAACACCACCTCTAATACGTTGGATTGTAGTATGGACTTGCATTAGGGGCCAACACACGATCCTCAGAGACCCAGAGGGTGCACGAATGCACCTATTTCAAGCCTACGATTCTTCAAATATTTTCCACATGTTTCCAGGCTTACAAATATTATGCATAAGACAGGCTTAGCCCTAATGTGTATCTGACCCCCCCCCCCCCCCTTGTATGTATCCAACAGAATATAAGATTTATTCAGACGAGGACACAGTTTTACCCTCCCCCGCTAGACGGTCAACACCGCCTCTTATGCGTTGGATTGTCGTATGGACTTGCATTGGGGCCAACACGATCCTCAGAGACCCAGAGGGTGCACCTACCCCCCCCCGTCCATTAGTGTTATAGAAAATATTGTACACATTAGAGTTAAAACAACAAACCAATTGATAAGCGAACCAAACAGAGTGATTTGGGCATGAGATTGTCTTGAAAACGTAAGCTTTCACTAAAATAAAGCCAAATATGAAAAATATTTGTCTTACCTTCAAATATGGCGATGGAAGTTAAAGAGAGGCTCGTTATTCTTCGTGAAGAAGAATCGGTACTCCTCGGAAAAAAAATTCTCGGCCTTCTTCGGTAAAAGATTTGAAACGGGTAAAGTAGAGCTCCCCCCTAGAGGATTGGGCAGAAAAATGAGAAAAAAATAGAAAAATGTGTTCTGGGTTATTTACTCACATCCCCTGAATCGAAGTCCAGTAGTCTTGGTATCATTTTGTTCCCTGTTCCCACTGCTTTCGCCAGACATCATTACACTCCTATTTGCATCAGGCTATAACTAAGAATTCTTACATTTTATAACGAATCCGAAATATTTTCTGCAAATCTGTTATGATCACGTGACCAGAGTGATTAAAAGATGGCAGCACTTTACAAAGAAAAATTAAATTATAGGCCAAGCAAAATGACAGGCCGTTTAACGTCTATTTAATTTTCATTTTATTCACGAAACTGGACTAAAAATTTAGATTTGAAAGAGTTCTATTGTAAAATTCATAATATGAACTCTTTGAATTTGTGATGCTGTAGGGCCTGATAAGGGTCGAATGGAATTAACTTAGCCGGCTAAATGCTCAAGGAACCATGTCACGAGTCGTAGTAATATCAACTCGGGGGCTGATCTACTTTTTTCGGGGGACAAATCGTCACGTGTATAAGTAAGATCATAAAATTGTCACCCACATCTAGGAATTTCAGGAAAAATTACCGTCGACACATCAAAGGGTTTCATTCAAAAAGCGGGAGACCCATGATATGCCCCCTCCCCCGCGCGGCCCCACTCCATGACGAATAAAATCATTGACTTTGAATAGGCGTGTTACAATGTAGTTTGTCCCACCTCTTCAGGCTCGTAGCCAGATGGGGAGCTCTTTCTTTCAAAATCATGGCAGTTTTTCAGCATTCAGAGGATTTTTCGCATGATTTTTAGCCAAAATTGTGATAAAGCTCCCCTCTGGAAAAAAGCTCCCCCTCATGGTAAAAGCTGGCTACGGGCAAGCTCTTTGTTTTTTTCTGAGTGAAATAAAATATCTGGGTAAAATAACGGCTTTCAAATTTATTAGACATGAAAAGTCGCATGACAATATTTAAGGCCTTTGTCTTGTCACACTTTAATTATTGCCCGATAGTATGGCACCACTGCGGCAAGACAAATGCTCTTAAACTGGAAAAGCTCCAAGAAAGATGTCTCCGATTTGTTTACAAGGACTATGAGTCTGATTATGATACTCTTTTAGACAAATCAGGCCTGCCCACCTTAACTCTGGGTAGACAAAGGCAGATAGCAATAGAAACTTTTAAAATCATAAATAATCAGTCTCCTAGTTACCTTAACGACATGCTTCAGGAGCGTACATCTAGTTACAATTTACGTCACAAAAATACTCTAAATGTTCCATCTTTCAATACTGTAACACATGGCAGACACTCTTTTAGAGTTGATGCATGCTTTATATGGAACAATCTACCCAATGATCTCAGAAGTTGTGTATCTCTTACAGAGTTCAAAAAACTAATTAAATCATGGAACGGTGAAAACTGCAAATGTGCAATATGTAAATGTAAAATGTAAACCTTTCAGATTCTCTGTGCCACTATGTAAATGTATTTTAGTATGACATATGATTTTTTTTAGTATTTATCTTGTTAACACTGTTACATGTTTTAAAATTATATTTTAAAGATTTCTATGTCTATATGTCAGCGCTTGCGCTAATGTTTATTGTACAAAAATTATCCGACTTGAAATAAATATTGATATGATATGATATGATATATGGGTGTAGCACTCCAAAAATCGGAACTGCGATAAAATATGATGAATATGAGAATTTTAGCGTTTCCACTAAGAAAATAAATAATTTTGCGCTACCTAGGTCTAGGTGCCTTCTCTAATTTACTATCCTCACCAATCGTAACTTTAAGAGTTTTTGTAAAAATGGAAAAAGAAACTAGGTGTACACATGGTCTTTCAATTCTAGTTGAAAGCCCATGGTGTACAGTATTTTTAATAAGTGTTAAAAACATCAAAAATGATTCAGATTTACAAATGTTAGATTTATTCCTAATATGAGTTTACCTTTAGAAATAAATCAAAAATTGTAATCTCAATCATTTTTGATGTAGCTACATGTAGTGTTCAGTAGAATATTTTTTCATTGTTTGAAACAAAAATCTGTTGGCATAGGAAATAGAATACACAAATTGAATCAATGAAAATGTGACGAAATCAATGACGTCACAATATGCTAGTTGCTGCATGGACTGATTTGTTGATATTCATTTTTGTTTACATCTCATCGAATCAACATTGAAATTATAACACAGAGAAACAGCGAAGTAAACAGAGAAAATGGCAACGAAATATGGTAAGAAAATTGTTGATTTTTTGTGAAAAACAATTGCGGACTTGGCAATAGCATATAGCATTTTAAAATGAAGGTTTATATTAGATATATGTCTTGCGAGATTAAGAAGAAATTGTGAAAAATAAATTAGCCATAGAGACTATTTGAATGACGTCATCTTCAGAAGAAAAAAACATAATGACGTCATAAAAACAATGTTGCCACTTGGATACAAAATTGTTTTATCATCCTGCAGCAGACCCTAGAAACCATTTCTGAATTTGAAAATATCTTTGATTTGTAGAAAGTCCAGTTAACCATGAAGGCAACGTTATTGGAGAAATTAACCCAATAATACGACCACCACCCCCACAACCGAGTGACGTGTTCATCCCCTCTCCTGCGGTAGAGTCGTCAGAAGCTTGCCTCAGACACTGTGTAAGAGCTTTATTCAAATACAAGTAGCCCTGAAAGAACTTTATTTTACAAATGTGTTGGACAAATCGGTTAAAATTACTCTTGTTGCTGTGTTGTCAAATCAGATAGAAAATGTTGTGTATTGTGTTTTGCACTGATTTGCATATTTTTTATTTATAGATAACAATTCATTTTTTCTAGTTGACAACTATAGATAACGATCTAAGAGTGTTGATGGAAGAAAGAAATAGGATCGTTATGGAGTTTGAAGCCCGTAAGTATTTGAACATCCTACTCCGCATATGCCTCTTAATTATATGTATATTAAAATTGTCTTCCCATGGAGGAAAGTATGAAACCGAACGAGCTAGTCCAATACTTCTAACTAATTCATAGAATATACGGACCAACAATATTAAAATGTTAATTTCAGAAAATATAAGTATTATGCTTTGTTTCCATGACAATACATTTAAACCTGATTTGATTCACATGATTTCTGAAATACCACTGTTTTGTTTCCAGGTGGGCTGAACAAACCAGAATGTCCGATCATTATAAAGTACGTCGTGCAAGAAGTAAATCTAGAGAACTCTGTATCAAAGAAGATACCGCTAAGACAAAGAGCGAACGATTTTTTCAAGGAAGTTCTCAAGAAGCTTGGCCTAAAAAATAAACAATTAAAACACATGCACACTGTAAACAATGCCATTTCCACTGTTTAGTTCAAGATTGGAAACAATGTGCGTACTCAAATGAATCGATCTCATCGCCTTAAACCTGATGAAAATAATTGTGTAATTTCAAATATTCAAATAAAATATAAAATACAAGTCTTTGGAAACGATTTGATTTCTTCTGTTGAATTACGTATTTGCCATTTCAGCAACCCGTTTGGCATAGGTAGTATCGAAACATGGTAACAAGTGGCAAGCATCAAGTAATCGACTTTATAAATAGCAAAATACCTTATTCCCATTTACCTTTCAAATGGTATATCGAAACATTGGACCAAATAGCGGCTATCATGTTTTTTCTGAATTTACATGACACGAGCTTGTACCCGAGTCTCTAGCCAAATTACTGGCGGACGAAGAAGGTAATTTAAATACGAGCCTTTTGAATCCCACATATGTCTGTAAGTGACTTTAGTTCCGTTTGTCCAGGAATTTACACCATTGGTCCGGACTCCTCTATTTGCCTCGTTTTAAAGAAATCTGTTTTTTCACCATGCAAGCCCATCGCGAAAGCCGGCGCAAAAGGTGCAAATTTCAACTATGCAATTAAAACGTCTACGACCACACCTCATAATAGATCTTCTTAAAATGTTATAAATAGTGTTTTATATCATTTCTATTCAATATAATTAATATTCACACATAGCTAGGCAAGGTGTGTCCGATTCCAGCCAATCCGAACAGAATATTCACATAATGAACAGTGTTTGACATACCAATAACACATGCAAGGTCATCACTAGTTAAACAGTTGCAATGTGTGAAAAGAATTTTAGCCCAAGACTCAATGCATTGTAGCTGCTTCACACTCAGGCGTTATTTCCTAAACTTTGCGTTCCCGCTGCTCGGTCATGCAAAGGTTTGGAAAAACACCTTCATGGTATGATTCAGCAAACAATGCATTGAGTCTTGGGCTTTAAAAATGGTTTATATTAACAAGGCATTAACGTGCAAAATGTCACCACCTCGTCCTGCAATTTTTGAGACGCCGACCGCCGAACACCGTCCATAAAATGTTGGAGACAACATAACAATCTGTCACCACTTAAGGATGTTCCCTGGACGAAGTTGAAAACGATGAACACCAACCCCTAATTTTTCTTTTCAAAATGTGAAGTACATAGCATAACTAAGTGTTTCTGTGAGTTTAAGAAAAAGTTAAATATTCAAAAGTGTGTTTTGGGGTGAAAACCTGATTTTTAACATGGGTTTCAATGAGAAAGTGCCACGCCCACTTTTGTCAAATATTGACACTTTAGAGGCCTCTTGCTCAGAAAAAAGCACACTAACATATGGTTTTTAAAGTTTTAATATTCTTTGTTGCCCGTGAGAATCCCAGAAAACCATTTTTGAGAAAAAGTTAAATACTATTGAATATTTTCCTATCTGACCAGGGAACATCCTTAACAACCACTTGAATTATCCATCTATCATATTATATCTGCTTATCGGAATTTGACTTTTCCGAATGAGCATCAGTTATAAATGGCTCTGAAAGTCCTTTTGAGTCATTTGTATTAACTCTTTTCTTTTCGAATTCACCATGGAGACGAGTACCGAACATTTCCGCTTCTTCAAATGTTTCCGGTAGGTGGCATCCCTTGGTTTCAGGGAGGAAATATGCTAAAACACTCGAGGCGATTGGAAATATTGAAAGAAACACATATGGCAGGCCAAACCATATAAGTTTTAAAAGTGGGAGCTGCGTAGCAATCAGTGCCGCAATTCGTGCAGCACTCGCTGCGCTTCCAAAGCCAATGGTCCTGGCAGGGGTTGGATATATCTCTCCCGTGTACAACACGAGGACTCGCTCCACCGTCTTTAATGCTGCCAACGCTATCATGGCAGCTATCGCCACCAATAACTTCATTTTCACCATGATTAGCGGAATCATCAATAAACAACATAATCCAGTTATCAAAATGTAGATCATCATCGCCAGTCTTCTCCCAGATCTAAATAAAGCAAACCAAATTGTAAGAAATGTAGGTACCTCAGAGCCAGCCGTTATGAGTACCATATTTAAATATATGTTTCCTGGTACTAGTTTTCCAATATTCGTTCCAAATGCATAGAGAACAAACCCCCTGCTGAACCATAGGAAACAGACAATCAAGGTTCGTTGTCTGAGTCGTGGCGTTCTGAGTAAGTTCAGGAAAGACGCCCTTTCCTTTAATTCATCTGTGACCCCATTGTCTTTCCCTTCTAAATCGAATTCTGACGTCCCTTTTGTCATCTCTTCAGTAAAGGCAACATCGTTTATTTTAGCGATTGTACGCACGACTGCTTCATACTCTTTATATCGTTTGCGGGAGAGAAGCCATCTTGGACTTTCGGGAAGTAGGATGGCATAAATAAATCCGGGTACAGCGACACCCACACCAATTATTTGCAAGTGTACGTGATTTCGAACAAAGTATGCAATCATAGGTAGAATAAATTCAAGAATTCGTCCAAGCGTGAAGAAATATGTACAATGGTTCCGATAGACTGGAGGCATGTTTTCTATCACGAGAATCCAAAGTGCAGAAAACGCGCCCATATTCCAAATTCCTACTAAGAATCGTAGTCCAACGAATAGCCAGAAATATGGCGAAAATGCTTCTGCTATATTGCATAACATTTGGCCCATTATCATTAAAACTGCAGTCCATTTTCTACCCCATCTGTCAGAAAAATATCCAGCAAGAATGGAGCCACAAAATGAGCCCATGACATAGGCTATAGCCGGTATAGTTTGAAGCCAAGAACGATCACAAACTAGTCTGTGCTGACTTACGATGGTTGAATAGAACTCAGTCCGGTCAAATTCCCAACCATTACAAGGCACTCGTGTCCAATTACTATCTGGCATCAATTTGCCTAAATCACCAACTGGATCATCACATAGTTCGGTAATATTGACATCATATATTTCACATTTGCTATAGAATTTCTCACCAAACTCATTAATAGCTTTTGGAATAATTAGCTCCTTGAGATAAGTTTTATTAAAACCACTGTGAAAATCGAATCTACACCAATGGTCCATCCCTCCAACGAGAAAGTTGATATTAGTAAATTGATAACTGCTTCCTGGATAAAATATAATGAAGCCTAGTAGGAGAAGCTTCTGGTATTTCCCGAATCCTCCAATCTTCGTCAAGGTATCGTCAAATTTCATAGTTTTGTTGTCCACTTAAACGGTATTTACATGTACACGTAGAACTGCGCAAGTTTTGCAACCGGATGTGTCCTTCTGGATCGCTTGATAAATCCTACCTCCAGTATGTATAAACGTTTGGCGATTTAAAATGAAATTGACTTCAGCCTGATTCCCAATCTAATCGAGAATGTAGAAGTACACTACTAAAGGGTTGCTTTACATCTCTTATCAGTTCGAACGTAATCTGTTTGACATGTATGTACATATATTTACATATATATACAGCTTACTATAAGTCTTACTTAGTTTACTGTAAATCCATACATATACAAGTTAATTGTTTTCTGGTCCGAGTATTGTTAAAACTGGAAGCCCCACTTTGGATCATTTATAAAAGCCCTTTCAAAAAAGACTGGTCTCGGTTTGGAGAACGGCGTTCATCAGTCTACTGCACGTTACGCCTCAAAAATATCAAAATTGTCCAAAGCAGGTGCCCTGCTTAGGACAATTTAGATGTTTTTACATATTGTAGATTTGAATGTCCTCTTTTGAATATCCAAAATTTGGGTGATATTTCGGTATTTTGCCTTGAAATTTCAGAATTATTTAGTTCATTCAATGTGAATTTTGTTGTGAAAGTTTGATAATAATTTACCAATTGAGTCAAAAACTACAGCTCCTTACAAAACATGCCCCAAATGTGCATCTCTCCTCTCTATGCACAATTCAATCCGGCGAACAAAGCTGTTGATGATCCTCCTACACACATGTCTTTCTGAATGGACAAGTTTGTTCCAGGAACAATTGCTACTGGGGCTTACATCCCCCTGATGAAGTGTTACAGCATCCATTGCATTCTGAACAATGCACTGCCTGGGTGGCAATGAGGAAACATGGAATCATCAGTCTCTTTTGGTTCGAAGGTGACTGGGGACTTGCTATCACCATGAACAAGGACCAGTAAGTTCTCACCAAGTTTTGGAGGTCACTAGGCACCAGAAGGGACATCTCAGGAGATAATTAAGCAGTGGTTTCAACAAGCCAATACCACCCAACACTGCAAATGAAATGAAATGGTTTAGGCAATACCTTGGTGGTCAGTTCATCAGTTGCAGAATGCAAACCATATGGGCAGCTCATTCGCCAGATCGAAATCCCCCAAATATTTAACTTTGAGGATTTCTCAAAGCCAATGTGTATACTGACAGGCCCCTAACAATCTTAAAAGTGCAATAACTACCCTAATATTTACCATCCACATTAATGTGTATAGGTCAGGGTCATGAACAACTTTGTTCAGCGCAGGACTCGTTTGTGCATAGAGAGAAGTGCCCACTTTGAGCATGTTTTGTAAAGTACTGTAGTTTTTGACACAATAAACAGATTATCATCAAACTTTCACAACAAAATTCACATTGAATGAACTAAATAATTAGTATGGAGTATGGAGGGACAGGCAGGCTTTGCAGCGGGAAAGCTCCACATTCCACTAAAGTAGCAGGCACGTACCCAGGGGGGGGGGGTCGATGGGTTCGAGCGACTGCCTCAACGGTGTCATGGCAGCTATGTGATGATCATCAACCTTCGATGCACTTCGGTAGGGACTCTCAGCACAGAATGGTCACCTTGTCAACTCCCTGTTAAGTTATATGGAGATTATCGTCCGGTAGGAGCTAACGCGATCAGTGCAGCGGGAGAGTGCGATCGTGGCATAGCCACTTTTTTGATGCAACTTCTTTCAAAATTGAGCTAGAAGCTTCAAATAAAGCTATTTTCATATTCTATTGTATTAGTTATGAGCTCGCACCCATTGCACCCCCTTGCCTACGCCTATGTAGTTTATACATGTCCTGTTGCGCCTTATATAATATACTTAGAGAGAATCCAAGGATTGAGAGGGGGTTGGTGTACAGATTGTGTTCAGTATTCAAAGAAGACAAGTAGCCATGTTAGATTCTACCCA